ACATTTTATAAAACCTTCACTGCACCAGTTGGTATCTTACCAGGTTAAACAACTTAAAAATTCTGTTTTGTACTCACTGAGATTTCTCACTAAGATATAACTACAATTTAAAAACAAAGCAGCAAGTCGTTGCTGGGTATAGAGTTCCAGGTTTTCAAGATGAAAATAGTTCTAGAGATTTGTTGCACAACGGTGTAAATGTACTTAATATTTAACAGTGGATATGTACTTAAAATGTAACTGTACACTTAAAAGGGGTTAACACAGTAAATTTTATGTGTCTTTTACCACAATTAAAAATAAAATAAAAACAAAAAAGCATCAGCCACAGGTCAGATTGTTCTCTTGTGGCCTCTTCTGCCTCACGTCGGGCCTGCCTTTTACTACATAAACTCATCTTGTGAGGGAAGGAGAAACAAGTTTTCAACAAAATTATTAGTAGTTTTAAGTAGTGTCAGTGGCCCACCTGCTTATATCAAGTTCTGTGGATTTTTTTTTTTTAAATATATCTTTATTGATTTCAGAGAGAGGAAAGGAGAGGGAGAGAGAGAGAAAGAAACATCAATTATGAGAGAGTCATTGATCGGCTGCCTCCTACACACCCCTGACTGGGGATCGAGCCCGCAACCCGAGAATGTGTCCTGACCAGGAATCGAACCCCGATCGCCTGGATCCTAGGTCGACGCTCAACTGCTGAGCCACGCCCGGCTGGGGATGGATTTTCATAGTATAAATACTACAGATTTTTTTGCTTTCAGAGCTGATGAATAGAAAAGGATCCCCTCTTACTCTAGCTTCTTATAGCAGATCAGGCTTGGTCATCACTCCTACTGGGATTAGCTCCATTTTCTTTTAACATAGTTACCAAAGAGGGCAAGACTTCAAATCTAATGCCTACAGCTTGGCGCATTCCAAAGACAGAGTCTTGAACAGATTCCCTTTCTTCATTAGGAACTGAGAGTGAGATCAGTTGTTTCTCAGTGGATTGGGCTTTCTCACTAAGTGGCTGTTCTCTGGCTGAGCACACTTTGCACCTTCTGGTCAGAAGTCAGTTTGGGCAGGACAAAGACTTAGTCACTGGACAGATCAATCTTCAGGCAGTTGACCACAGAGGATATGAGGTAGTCTAGTCCCAAGAGCCCAGGCTACCCTTTCTAACAAAGATTAAGACTAATGTAGAATTCCAAGCATATCAGTGCTGCTTGGAAAATGTACATTTTCCAATTTAATCAAAATCCAGCTTTATTAAGGTTCCTCCTACTGAGCAGTATTTCCTTTGGCTTTAATCAAAGAAGCAGTTGCCCAAAATAGGATCCTCATTCTGCTAGAGTCAAACTCAATTGTGCTGTTGATCCTAGAGTCTGACCAGTTTCAGAGAGCCGGAGCTGGCAGTAGAAGATCAAGAAAAACCAACAGCTTTCTCAAGATACAGACTGGAACATATGCGCTTCAGCAGCAGCTTTGCTGACCCAGCTTCTCCTTCGAGAATTTGGCTTGACTTGGAGGGGTCCATTTTCAGCGAGGTGAATGAAGAGTTGGCAGTCTGGCTCTCACTTACTGTAATTGAGTCAGACAATTAAATTGCCTCCCAGTTACTGAAAATGTAAACCACATACACCGTATGTAGGTCACAGCATTCCAGTGGTGCGTGTTTGGTATAGTGACTTAATGCCTGGATATAGACAATTCTTTTGAGGCAAAGCAGTGTAGCATGCTAGCTCAGCAGATGCACATGCACGCAACAAGGGAAGCACCAAAGGTCTGTAGCTTTGGAAGATATCCTAGAATCTGTGTTTCAACACATGGATTTATTTAGACAAAACAATGTGTCAGCTTATCATTGTGCTGTAATTTTTGGATAGCTTTCTTTAAAATCTTAAAACAAAGTGTGCTTATTAATGAGTCCCTTCCTTTACACACAACCCAAAAAATCCTCTATGTTTTCCCCAAACTAAAGCTGTACTCAGAGAAGAAAAAAATAACATAATTTTACATGGATAGACTACTTACAGTGAAACTGTCAAATGTTTTAGCCTCAGTGTGTGATGTTAGACTTTGTAGAGAGTGGACTTAATGACATGATCAGGACTGGGGAAAGGGTTTGGATTGTGGATATGTTTAACTTAACAATATGAATGTAAGTACAATTGATTATTATGATAATAAAAGTGGTCTTAAGGAATAAATGGATACTGTAATCAATATTATTTTCAGATCAATGACTTTTCACAGCATATATCTTTTCTCTTAATTGACTATGAACAATAGACTGTTATAAGTTTTACTTTAAAAAATATTCCTTGATCTGTATTTAGATTTTCCATGGCAAATATTCAATCTTAATGCATCCCTGTCCAACTCCACAGGCTTTTTGACATCTGGCTTTATCATCAAGTGTTGCGTGTTTAAAGAATGCGATTTTCTTAGTTTAATGAAAGCGGAATTATCAAGATATGAGTGTGGGTGTGGGTGCACATGCACATGTATGCATGTGAACCAGGGATGTTTCCTATAAAAGCCTCCTAATGGATCTTAATTTCAGTCTGTTTCTCCATACTTAGAAAACTATGCTTTTAGAATTATATTGTTTAGTGAGGAAATCCTCTGGTGGGCAGTCCCATTTCTATTTGGGATATTCTGATTATGAGTTTATCTCTGACAGCACCAATCTTTCTCCAATGGTCTCGAGTTGAGAGAGAAGGACTGAATCTGTGAGACTGGCTATTTTTCTGTCACCAACTTTTATTACTTCCATCTCGAGTGTTACAAAAAGTTATAAAATTTCTCAACTTTGGAGCAATATATTCATGCTAGTTCCACCTCTTCAGAGCTATCTCAAAGCAGCTCTTTGAGGCTTCCCTTACTCAGAGCATGCAGCCAAGTGCTCCACGAAAAGGCTGCACACTTCCCAAGTATATGTCTTGACACAGTGATAGAAAAATGTATCAGTCATGTGAAAAAAGTAGTTATTAGTCCAAGTCCTGTTTTCACGGAATCATTCAATTTTTTAATTTCTAATTTAAAGTATGCCTTGCAGCCAGAATGGCATGGCTTAGTGGTTGACCAGGAGGTCAGGGTTCGATTCCCGGACAGGGCACATGCTTACGCTGTGGGCTCGATCCCCAGTAGAGGGATGCAGGAGGCAGCCTATCAATGACTCTCATTGATTTTTCTATCTCTCTCTCTCTCCCTCTCCCTTCTCTCTGAAATCAATAAAAACATACTAAAAAAAATTTTTAAATAAAGTATGCCTTGTATATGGGGATAGTATGTAGTATTGGAGGAGGTGATGGAATAACAATAACATAGGTATGTCTCACAATTTAGACCAGTGGACAAATGTATACACAGAACATATAAAATCTTAGAATACTTCTTATTAAAATCATGTTTCTATGAAATCTTAACAAGATTCTATGTTATTCTTGTTATAAAGAATACTTTGTTATGTAATTCTTTGTTATAAAAAATACCCTTATATAGCTGATAAACAAAGCACAGTCAGAGACAAAATTATCATATACATAATAATCCAGAATATTAGTTTAAAATCTCTTTATAATGAATAATTTTAAAAGATTCCCAGATGCCAAATAAATTTGCTCTTCCCCTACCCTCCCAAACACAGATCATACTATTCCATGTATTACCCATAAGCACAATGATAAATAGCTCTTATTCACAATAGCAATGAATATACAAATACCCAATCTTACCTCTAATGAGAAACATGTTACCAAATTAAAGAAAGCTATACTTTAGTAGATCATTTACAAGAAAATTCAAATGATAAGATGTTCTTATTTGAAAAGAACATCAACAATTCTTTCCAACTAGAAAGATGATATAATACTTTAAAAAAATCACAATGAAACATTTTATGCAGAAATGACAAAACTATAAAATTCATCTGGAATGACCAAGTTTGCTCCATTCATCAAGAGCACGTCCAGCTGGCATATTATAATGAATGGCCATGAAATTCCATCTCATGGATAAATAAATATTACCTTATAAGATGACCTCTTGGCTCATTTAAAAGAAACAACATACTTTATCAACCCCCATAGAACTCTACTGGGAAAAAATTTGTACCTGTATTTCTTTGGCTCCCCTTACAACTCTCTTTATCTTTCTTGTGAAAAAGCAAGGAAGTTGAAAGTATAAACATTTACTTTCTGCTGTTAGAGAAACATGTTATGCTGTCATTTTTACGAATTGTTAAGGATTGTAAATTGTTAGAAGAGAAGCCCTGTATATAATTTTAAAAAATCATCTTTTAGTAAAGCATAACACAGTGCTATCCAAGATAATCAAGAAAAAAGTATTAAAATGAATGAATAACAAATATATCTTTTAGTTCTATCCAGGTTGTGTAAATAATTGTTTAATGGGAAGGAAAGACTTAATTAAATGCAAACTACATAGTCGCATGCTCAGGCTAACCAGGGTGCTCGGTCCATAGTAGAGGTGACTATTTTAAAGACCTCAGTACAGATTTGTTGGGTTGGGTGAATGAATGAGTGACCTTTCTGGTAAAGCTCACATTCTCATGAAGTAAAGACAAGGCAATTCCTGTTAAAGACTTTTTATTCAATAATTTTTCATGTACATTTATAAAGCTTCACTTTAACAGTGTTGTTTTTTTTTCCTGATAGAAACAGTCCGACATTTCAGCTTCTCTCCAAATCCCACAATTTTGATATCAAGAAACTGGGTAAAAGTTTCACCTTTAAATTCATACTTCTTTTATTTGTTACAATTTACTTGCCTTGCATAACTAAAAACATGGGTGTTTGGGTGAATCATTGGCAATGTATGAGCTACTGTAAGTCCTACTACTTCTTAAAAAATAAATAAAATAAAAACAAAAAACAAAAATAGTTGTGTTATGTAGTAGTAAAGTCTGGCCTAGTTTGAAGTGTTAAGACGTTTTGACTTAAAGAGAGCATTTTTTTTTTCTGGTGTGAATGAATACAGACTTTTTCATTTTGTTCCAGAAAATGAGTAAAAGTCTACTAATGTACTTCCACTTCAGGAAGATTCCAATTTCGTGACCCAGCCAAGAGGGCAATTAAGATTCCAGAGATAAAAATTGCTTCATCTGTAGAGGATGGGCAACGGATGCCCCAGTTCTGATCCTGTGCTTCATCATCCGTGAATGTTTACTTTCTTCAGAGAATTGACACAATCAAACTTTTCAGTTATTTTTCCAGAAGAGGAAATATACATTGTACTTCCATACAATGTCATGGTGAGGTGAGAGTTCATTGTATAGCTAACTCACATGAAATAAGATTTATTAAAGTGGTTCCAAACTCTGGTCATATGAATTACCACCAAAGCTGTTTTAAAATAAAGATTCTTGGACTCTTCACAAGGATTACAATTCAGGAGTGTTGGGGAGACACTCAGGTGAACTTATTTATAACAAGCTCCTCGGGTGATTCTTATCTAGCCAGTATGTCAGTGGTTTGCTGACAGGTCTTTAAAAATCATTGATTAATTCAACTGAAATATACATAGCAGGTGCCTGCTTGTGCGATCCTAAAGGGTGCAGATCCTAAAGGGCGACACAGTAGTAAAATATGCTCCTTTCTCTGTACTGAAGCAGGTGCATTTTATGACTGTTGCTGTCACATATAACACAATTGGTACTCTCAGTCCAGCATTCAGTTTACAAAGATATGTGACCACTCTGCACTGCCTTTGGATTTGTGTTCCTCTCATGTGAGGTGAACTTCTCAATGACTCAAGGGTTATACTCAGAAATAATTCTAAATCAAATGTAGCTCAGTAGACTTTTCTTTTTCAGTTGCCATTCTCTATAGTACATATTGCTTCTATAACACCCAACACTTTTATGATTCTACATTAGAGGGCTCCATCCCCCAGGAGGCATATGTTAATCTCATAGTTGTAGGAAGAGCACATGTATATGTTGAAAGCATTGTTCAAGGTTATACTCTAATTTTTAATTTGGGAAAAAGATTGTTTTTATAATATAACCTACAGAAAATAAAGCTCAACAAAACCTGATATAGTGGGAATACACACTATATTGAAGAAGATAATGGATTCCTCTGAGAATCACCCTCCAGAATAATATATAAAAATTAGCAGGGGTTGTGAAAGTATTCATGTCCTGTAGGTATCAAAAGGCACATATTACAAAACATTGGTCAACATTAGCTACGTGATCTTATTGCTCAGTCTGTTAATCTTAAGGCACATGAGCTTTAGCATCTTTCACCAGCTGTTCTCTCTGACTCACCTCTTCCCTCTCCCCATCATTTCCAATTCCTGTAGCCCCTTTCATTTTTTGCTACTTTCTCCCAGGTCCTAATAATACTCTGTTCTGACCACAGTCTGAAATCCTCAGGATGGCTAGGATTATGACACTGCTGTCCAGGAGGAGTTGGCACTTGAGTTCTGCATATTGACTTTCAAATTGAGATAATTGTACAGTTCTCCATTTCACAGTCTCAGAATAGTCACAGATTGTGTGTTGAAGCCGTTTACCCAGAAGCTTAATCTATACATTTATAGCAAAAAAGAGATCCTGTGAATTATGTGCAATGTCAAACGCTTATATTACATGTGCCATGTGGAAAATGTTAAACCGCTGTAAAATAAATGAATTTCACTTGCCAAGCACTTTCCTTACCATGATCATTTGTTAGAAAGCTTCCTAAAATTGGTCAGGGAAATTTAATGTTAAGAAGGAAATACACACACATATTTCATATATATTTGAGTTTCAACAACCAAAATCTCCCTCCTTTTCTTTTCCATTTCAGTAGCAAAGACAGAAGATTCTGGGTTTATGTGTGAAAAATGGATGGCATAGTCCCAAGTCTAATTATGCTCCTTGATGGATTAACTAATTCAACTTTTATTTTTCTAGCAGGAAAGTGGGATAAAGAGAGATTAAGTGACTTGCTCAAAGTCACAAAACAAATAAGCAGCACACCCAAAACTAGAAACCAGACCCCAATTCATTCAGCAAACAAAGGTGGGATCTAATACGTGGCAGGCACACATCTAAGTGGTACACACTGTCTGTCCTACAGTTGCTTGTCACCTACTTGAGGGAGTTGAATGACTAACAAGGTCGCCATAAGAGAGAACAGAAACAGATTCCTACAGGATTGAGTAGAAGGGGCAGCTTGGGGATGGCTTCCTGGGGGAGGTGCTATCTCATGTGACATGGATACTCCACGTAGGAAAGGAGGAGTAGAAAGGTGTTTCAGGCATAAGGAGTGTTTCCTCAGGCTCAGAGGCAAGAAAGTGAATGCTGTTCAGAGAACTGTAGGTATTTCTTCACATTGGAGCATAGGGAGGAGCTAGCAGGGCGCAGGGAGAGAGGAGACTGGGTTGGGGAGGGGCCTCAGACTTTGTCAAATTTTAAAATTTGGACATTATTCTGAAAGCAATTGGAGAGTCATTGTAGGGGTTTTGGCAGAAGGATAACACTATTTAATTTGCATTTGAGGAGCAATTATCAGACTATAGTGTGAATATTGGACTGGAGAAAAGGAGAGAAAGGAGACTAAGGTAATGTTGCTCTATCACCATTCAAAGGATCTTTGAGAGAATTTTAAAAAGGTTCCTTTCCTGCTGGAACAAGACTCTCTTTATTGCTATTTACCAGAAAATCATTGACACGTATCTAGAAAACTGTGTGTTATTCTACGACACCCTTGTGCATTATACAGCTTGCCCAATTGGCCCTGACCACACATTGCATCTAGGAAACTTTGCACAGCACTTGAATATGTACAACCCACTTTCATAAAAATTATTTTATGTACTCTTCCTAATAAGCCAGTAAGGTAGTTAGAAACAGTAGTATTTTTAGCCTCTTACTTAGTGTGTTAAAAATTAGGTTACAAAAAACTTGGGTAATTATTTGCAATTTTCTTTATCTCTCAAATTATCAGGGGAAAAAAGAAAACTCTACAAACTTATATTCCCTTTCTTTGGCCAAGTACTGCTATCTTTTTTTTCTAACTATCCCCAAAAAGAAAGAATACAGAACAGTGGAACTGAAATCATTGTGGTTGCTCAAAAAGCATACACAAGTAAGATATGTAAATTATAATTGTGTGGGAGGGAAACTCTGGGTCAGAAAAGCAGCACTGTATTTACTCATGTCTGAAAGTCTGATTATGTCTAATACAGCATTCCCAAGCTGATTTTGAATAATGACCATACATAGCGTGAAAAAATTCCTCAAAATACCCAACCAGTGTTGTCATTGTTTCCAGATGAAAGACATGAGAATACATTGCAATGAACAATGCTTAAAATGTAAAGACAAAGATTAAGGCAACATATACAATAATTTTAGTGCATTTAGTGGTTTACGGTTCACCTCCACTAAAGGAGTAGATTTTCAAAAACAAGAGCTATTTAATTTTTTAAAATATTTTTACTTAGAAATAGTGAACTTCAATTATTTTTCAATAAAATAATTACTCAGTAACATTCTTGCTATTTCAAAAGAGAAATTACCATAGATTTATAACAGCTTAAAGAGCATATTTCTCTGAGTTCTGGTAATTGAAGAACATTCAGCTGTGAACTTAATACTGTAATTTAAAACAGACTGGAAGGTACTATAACTTTCCATAGATAGTGATTTAATTATTTCCACAAAAATGCCATTCTTCTTAGATTTCAAATGCTTTAAATTTTGTAATACACCATAGTTTTGCAATAAAATGTTTAGAGAAAAGAAATTTCAAATTTTTTGCTGTCTGGGGTAAAAGGACAAGGCATTTTTTTTAGAGCTGAGTCGTAATGGTTAGACGTCTTTTGATTACTAGTGAATGAAAATCCAAACCAAACTGGTTTGAACCAAAATAGAATTTATTGCCTCACCTAACCCAAAAGTTCAGGAATAAATCTAGCTTTGGTCAGAGCTTGACCAGACTCAGTGATATCATCAGGACATGGGTTTTCTCTGTAACTCTTGGCTCTGCCTTGTACATATTGAAGAAAATTATTGTTCAAATCACAGACCAGGTTGACTTCATGGTTGTAAGTTGGCTGCCACTGCTCAGGTACTTCACATTTCCAGGTTCTGACCATGTAGGGAAGAGAGTTTCTTTTTTCTGATAGTTGAAATAGAAGACCCAGAATGAAGTCTCAACAGCTATGATGAGCCACCATGGACTCTATGCTATCTTTGTAAAATCATTGTGATCAGAGGAAGGAATGCACCCTCCCTTTCTCCTATAGGTCTGGGCTTAGATCAAATGCACTATTTCAAAGGGTTGAGGGAGAGTTAATTTTTCCTAAAGCACATTATTTAACAAGGGCAAAGGGGTGGTTCTCCTAGAGAAAAATAGAGGTGCCATTATTGCTTTTGATTTGATGATCTCTCTGGATAAGTTTTAAGCTACATGAAAGTAAGGATCTTACCAACCATAAAACTCCTAGAAGAAAACATAGATAGTAAAATCTCTGACATTTCTGTTAGGAATATTTTCCTCTGATATATCTCTTCAGGCAACGGAAGTAGAAGAAAAAAAATAAACAAATGGGACTATCTCAAACGAAAATGCTTTTGCACAGCAAAAGAAACTAACAACAAAACAAACAAACAGTCTACTGAATAGAAGAAGATATTTGCCAATGATACACCCAATAGGGGGTTAATATCCAAAATTTATAAAGTACGCCTACAACTCCACACACACACACACACACACACACACACACCCTGACAACAACAAAACCAAACAAAAACAACCCAATTAAAAAATGGGCAGAGGACTGGAATTGACAATTCTCCAAAGAGGACATACAGAAGGCCAAAAGACTTATTGGAACTGCCCTATGACCCAGCAATTACACTTTTGGGTATATATCTGGAGAAACCAAGACACTGTTCAAAAGTATATATGCACCCCTATGTTTGTTGCAACATTATTCACAATAGCTAAGATATGGAAGCAACCCAAGGGCCCATCAATAGATCAGTGGGTAAAAAAGGGATGGTACATATATAAAAGGAAATATTATAAGGCCATAAGAAAGAAGAAGTCTTACCATTTGAGACAGCATGAAAGGACATAGAAAGTATTATGCTAAATGAAACAAGTCAGACAGAGAAAAACAAATACCATAGAATTTCACTTATATATGGAATCTAAAGAACAAAACAAACAGAATTGAAACAGACTCATGGATACAAGAACAGACTAATGGTTACCAGAGTGAGGGGAGGTTGGGGGACAGGGTGAAAAAGGTGGAGGGATTGAGAAGCACAAATTGGTAGTTATAAAATA